AGCGATGCACTTGTTACTGGTAGCTTCTTGTTACTAGTAGTAACAAGCGCCTCGCTAGTAGTAGCAAGTGCCTTACTTTTAGTAACCAAAAGCTATTAGAATTAAATTGACTACTAGCTTCTAGCTTCTTGTTACTACTAGTAAGGCACTTGTTACTAGAAGCGATGCACTTGCTAGTAGCTTCTTGTTACTACTAGTAACAAGTGCCTCGCTAGTAGTAACAAGTGCCTTACTACTAGTAACAAACAGTTATATAGAATTAAATACTACTAGCTTCTTGTTACTACTAGTAAGGCACTTGTTACTAGAAGCGATGCACTTGTTACTAGTAGCTTCTTGTTACTAGAAGCGATGCACTTGTTACTAGTAGCTTCTTGTTACTAGAAGCGATGCACTTGTTACTAGTAGCTTCTTGTTACTACTAGTAACAAGTGCCTCGCTAGTGGTAACAAGTGCCTTACTACTAGTAACCAAAAAGCGATTAGAATTCAATTAACTACTAGCTTCTTGTTCCTACTAGTAAGGCACTTGTTACTAGAGGCGATGCATTTGTTACTAGTAGCTTCTTGTTACTAGTAGCAAGGCCAGGAACCCCTAGTAGCGTCCTTGCTCCTAGTAGCATCAATTCAAATTGATCGTGCCTGTTAACTTGCAAAACATGGATGTTTGTTGCTTGTATTGATTACATCACTGTGGATACATCAGAATTGAAAGACTCAAGCCATAAGCAAATTTACTTAGTTGTTGAATTTGTAACCGCTGGGATTTACTAGGAACAAGAACGCTACTAGGGGCTCCTGGCATCGCTACTAGGAACAAGAACGCTACTAGGGGCTCCTGGCCTTACTACGGAGCAAGGACGCCTTTGTTTCCTTTGCGACGCAAATCGCGTTCCGAGGTCTGGGTGTGCATTGTCATTCTGCTGTCTCTCCCATCCATTCTCTTCGCTGTCGCGCAGGCGTGGCGTACGCCGCGTACGCTTGCGTGGTAAGGACAGCAATTCCTGTGTTCTTAAAGACAGAATGTAACAAGTGCCTTACTACTAGTAACAAACAGTTATATAGAATTAAATACTACTAGCTTCTTGTTACTACTAGTAAGGCACTTGTTACTAGAAGCGATGCACTTGTTACTGGTAGCTTCTTGTTAATGTACCGATGGAACTCCAAACCTTGAGACAAGTGGAATCTCAAACCACGCCTGGGCAAACCGCTTGCTATACATGACTTGCTGTGGATCAAATGGGACTTTGAATAGGTCCTAGGTTGTTCGACTGCTAGTTGGTGCCGCTGTCCTGTGTTCTCGAGTCGGGATGGTGGATGGCCTCACACCGTTCCCTTTCAGTTGTGTTTCCAGTGCTACGACAGATATAGGCAAAACATAGATGCTTGATGGCTGAATCTTGCATTGTTGAATTCTGTATGATCTTCTGTATCGTTCTTTTTGGAAGGCTGTACCCGCCAACGCGGCTGGCTTAAACGAGAAGGTGTTAAGCTGGATCCATCGAGCTGCTCCGTATTTGATCGTGTTGATTGAACTGCTTCTGGCGCATCCTTTGTCCACAAAATATTCTGCCCGCAGCGGCATTGAAGCGGACAGGCTGGACGGTGTCTATTTTAGCAAGTCCGGGTATGTGTTGAATGAAATTGTCGCAAAAACGCTGGCAGGCTATTGATGACATTTCGTTTGTCTTCTGCCTGGTTCATGTCCTTGCTAGCGACAGCGTTTCTGCACGAAAATTGCTTCGCTGGCTGGAAGCTGTTCTGGGTTGTTTGCCAGGAGAGTTCAGCTGAGCACGAAGACTCTCTTCCATCTGCTTTGCAGCCTTTTTTTTTCAGCTCTTTTGCGCAGACAAGGGGCAAACTTTTGATATCTTTTGATAATTTAATTAGAGATGATATCGACATCTTTTGACCAAGGCATTCAACTGGAAGCTTTGGAGTCAGGAGATCTTGTTCGCCAAGAAGGATATGTGCCGCTTAGGGGAACGTTGGTGGGTGGATGGCCGCTGCACCCGCTCCATAGTGGATGGTTTGACACCCTTGCTACTGTGGCCCGGCACTCCGGAGTCGGCGAATTGGGGGAAGTTCTGTTTTCGAAAAAGAAGGGAGCATAAACAGATAAAAATAAACAGTCTAAAGGGCTAAATAAACAAACGTACAAAAGAACATACAGAAAGGAGGAAAGAGGTCGTCTTAAGGCCTGAAGAACCCAAAAGCAATGCCTCCAACCTAAACGCGGCACCGCTTGTGCTCATTGGTATACGGAAATGGGGGAGCGACATTCGTTACCAGACAAAGAGGTGCAACGGCAGTGCAGCTATTCACACTTTGGGTTTTTGGGGTTCGAACTGTAACTGTCAGGTGTTTATTTATGAGGCTTACGCCTGACAGCCGGGCGCCGGCCTATTTGGGTTTGGGTATGTGCAGGGCTGGGTCCTGTCTCTCTCTCTTTGTCTCTCTGTCTCTCTCCCTCTCTCTCTCTCTCACACACCTGTCTCTCTCTTTGAGACTTGGTGGAGCTATCTGGTGCGCATCTTGGCCGTAGGTTGGGCCAAGTTGAGCCCATGCGGTCTATGTTGGGCACATCTTGGGCCCAAGTTGAGCCTATGTTGGGCCTAGGTCGGCCTATGTTACGCCTATGTTGGCCTAGGTTGGGCCTATGTTGGCCCCATGTTGGCCTATGTTGGCCCTATGTTGAGCCATCTTGGAGGCTATGTTGGGCATATGTTGGCTATCTTGGGCCTATGTTGGGGATATGTTAGGCAACTTCTGTGCCCAACACCCACGAAATGTCGATTAAGCCTGTCCGCGCGGCACGCATAACTGACACCACGGGCACCCTGTCGTGGACGCCGAAGGCCACGAAACACTGTAAAAAACGATGTTTTTGAACAATTTTCGAACATCCAGCGCAAGATACATAAAAATCTGTCGACCGGATTCGACCGGGGGTCGACCGGGGGTATCCCCGCGGTCCAACAAAAGGGTCGGCGGCAGGGGGCGCGAGCGTATATAACCTTCGGTTACCAACCGAAGGCCTCCGGCAAGGACACGGGCGTGTGGCCGGCGCCCGGATTGTAAGGGCTCCGCCCCCTGCCGCCGACCCCGGGGATAAGGCACGAGATCGCCGACGGTGGCAAATTTATAGGAATGGAAGTAGCAGCTAGTAGCATACAACAGTGCAGATGCACACGACAGCGGTCACGGTGGCAAATTTAGAGGAATGGAGGTAGCAGCAATGAGCATACCACAGTGCAGACGCACACGACATCGGTCACGGTGGCAAATTTAGAGGAATGGAGGTACAACAGTGCAGACGCACACGACATCGGTCACGGTGGCAAATTTAGAGGAATGGAGGTAGCAGCTATTAGCATACAACAGTGCAGAGGCACGCACAGAACAGTGCAGACGCACACGACATCGGTCACGGTGGCAAATGTATAGGAATGGAGGTAGCAGCAATGAGCATACAACAGTGCAGACGCACACGACATCGGTCATGGTGGGTTTGAGACCGGACCCCCTAACGTCACCTTCGAAACCCATAAGAAAGAACTGGGAGACAGCTCTCAACGTGGCCACGCCAGGCCCGGCTTCGGCAGCCAAAGCTGCGGTCCAGGCATCTGCAGCCAAAGGTCCCGGAAAGGGCTTTGGAGCCTGGCCAACGGCCCTGCCGCCTGCTGAGGAGGGTTTGAGACCGGACCCCCAAACGTCACCTTCGAAACCCATAAGAAAGAACTGGGAGACAGCTCTCAACGTGGCCACGCCAGGCCCGGCTTCGGCAGCCAAGGCTGCGGTGCAGGCATCTGCAGCCAAAGGTCCCGGAAAGGGCTTTGGAGCTTGGCCAACGGCCCTGCCGGCTGCCGAGGAGGGTTTGAGACCGGACCCCCTAACGTCACCTTCGAAACCCATAAGAAAGAACTGGGAGACAGCTCTTAACGTGGCCACGCCCGGCCCGGCTTCGGCAGCCAAGGCTGCGGTGCAAGCATCTGCAGCCAAAGGTCCCGGAAGGGCTTTGGAGCCTGGCCAACAGCCCGGCCGGCTGCCGAGGAGGGTTTGAGACCGGGGACTCCCTGACGTCACCTTCGAAACCCATAAGAAAGGACTGGGAGACAGCTCCCATCGTGGCCACGCCAGGCCCGGCTTCGGCAGCCAAGGCTGCGGTGCAGGCATCTGCAGCCAAAGGTCCCGGAAAGGGCTTGCCTGGCCAACGGCCCTGCCAGCTGCCGAGGAGGGTTTGAGACCGGACCCCCTAACGTCACCTTCGAAACCCATAAGAAAGAATCAGAACTGGGAGAGGCCCGGCTTCGGCAGCCAAGGCTGCGGTGCAAGCATCTGCAGCCAAAGGTCCTGGGAAGGGCTTTGGAGCCTGGCCAACGGCCCGGCCGGCTGCCGAGGAGGGTTTGAGACCGGACCCCCTAACGTCACTTTCGAAACACATAAGAAAGAACTGGGAGACCGCTCTCAACGTGGCCACGCCCGGCCCGGCTTCGGCAGCCAAGGCTGCGGTGCAAGCATCTGCAGCCAAAGGTTCGGGCTTTGGAGCCTGGCCAACGGCCCGGCCGGCTGCCGAGGAGGGTTTGAGACCGGACCCCCTAACGTCACCTTCGAAACACATAAGAAAGAACTGGGAGACAGCTCTCAACGTGGCCACGCCCGGCCCGGCTTCGGGCTGCGGCGCAGGCATTTGCAGCCAAAGGCCCCGGAAGCCTGGCCAACGGCCCTGCCGGCTGCCGAGGAGGGTTTGAGACCGGACCCCCTAACGTCACCTTCGAAACCCATAAGAAAGAACTGGGAGACAGCTCTCAACGTGGCCATGTCAGGCCCGGCTTCGGCAGCCAAGGCTGCTCTGGAATGTCTAACGTTGCTTTCGGAACCCGTAAAACAAGTCTGTGAAGCAGCATGCCCTCGGTTGCCTCCTCTGGCGCGCGCCCCCTTCAACCGGCGGGGTCGGCGGATTATTGCTTCCCGCTCAAGGGGGTCTTTAAAACGCAAGTAGTGACACCTGACACTTTGGAAACCCACCCGCCCGCCCGCCCGCCCGCACACACACCCGCACACCCATACCGGCGCGCCCACCCGCGCACCCACACCGGCACACCCACCGGCACACCCACCGCACCCACGCCCACACACACCCACACACACCCACACACACACACTCATGGATATGCGTACGGACTTGACAGCGGTGCCACACGCCGGCCTAGGGTTCCAATTCCTAAGGGTACAGGTAAGGAGACCTAGAAAGGAAGAAGAGGTCCATCAAGTTCAGCAAGGCCATCAACTCTAAAGGAACCATCGAGCGATCGATCGACAAGATGACGGCGGTCCGTGCGCATCTGCAGAACTCACTAGCCCTTTACGAGAAGATTGGAGTGAAAGCTTGTCAACGCCACAACCAAGCAGGTACGTGGATTCTGCGTCCAGAATCCATATCAGTGACTTGTAACAGCCTCTTCGTTGGACTGCCACTGTTACAAGCCAGGCAGTCCCCCTGCTGAAAAGCTCAAAACACCAAAAGCGAGAACAATCCGAAAGGATCCCTGTGATTCCAAGGGTTACACACACACGCCTCCCCGAAGGAAGGCATGTGTGACCTCCATCCTGCCCGGAAAGGAGGTAGGCACATGTGCGCGCAAAAGGGACAGATGAAAATGAGAAGGACAAGACAGACAAAGGTGTGTGTGTGGTTGCCGATGAAAAGGAGCCAAGTGAAGAGGGACAACCGATGAGCCAAACCTCATTGTAACGAACCTGGGTCACCTGAACCTCGCTGTAAGTAGAGTACGCGTGCGCGTATGTGTACAAACTAAGGTCCGGACGATAGTGCGCGCAAGAGAAAGAAAGGATGAGGATGAAGAGACATGAAGACAGAAGGACATGAACGGAAAGAAGGGAAAAAAAGTCTGTGGGGGCGGATGAAAGGGGAACCAAATGAAAGGGGACAAACCGATGACAGCCCAAACCTGATTGAGAAACCTGTTGCAAAAGCCTAGTTTGCTTGTAAATACGCCATGCGCGGGGAAAGAGGGGGGAGGGGAGGAGGAAAAGAGAAGGAGGGAGAGAAGGAAGCAAAGGTGTTCCCAGCTACGGCGCAAGCGTCCAAGGACACACCAAAAAGGAAGGGCTCCCAGCTATGACGAAAGCATCCAGGGAGGCCCAAGGAAAAGGGTGAAGAGAGGAAAAAGGGAAGGAAAGAAAGAGAGAGGGAGAGAAAGGGAGAGGAGAGAAAGGAAGGTGTTCCCAGCTACGAACAATCGTCCAGGGACACACCAAAGAAAGAAAGGGGAGATCCTGAGTATTACATTCAGGAAAACACCAGAAAGCAAAGAGAGAAAGGGGGAGGGAAGGGGGAGAAGGGGCCTAAGTTCTCCACAGGTTCCAATGAACCTCAAAAGTGCTTCGGTCGCTCTGACGACGTTGAGGCGTTCAGCCAGCTTGGACCGCTGCGGTCACGTAAAGGCATGAGCCAACTTGGAATTCCAAAAATGAGACAAACATCCCACTTCTTGAGGCATGAGCCATCTGCTGTCCGCTCTGGACACTTACATCTCCAAAGCAAGGGAGATAACGACAAACCCCCGTTCAACGGGTCCACGGGAGGCACTCTGCGGGCTCATCCCGGACTCTCACTCAGAGAGACACACTCATGGATATGCGTACGGACTTGACAGCGGTGCCACACGCCGCCCTAGAGTTCCAATTCCTAAGGGTACAGGTAAGGGGGCCTAGAAAGGAAGAAGAGGTCCATCAAGTTCAGCAAGGCCATCAACTCTAAAGGAACCATCGAGCGATCGATCGACAAGATGACGGCGGTCCGTGCGCATCTGCAGAACTCACTAGCCCTTTACGAGAAGATTGGAGTGAAAGCTTGTCAACGCCACAACCAAGCAGGTACGTGGATTCTGCGTCCAGAATCCATATCAGTGACTTGTAGCAGCCTCTTCGTTGGACTGCCACTGTTACAAGCCAGGCAGTCCCCCTGCTGAAAAGCTCAAAACACCAAAAGCGAGAACAATCCGAAAGGATCCCTGTGATTCCAAGGGTTACACACACACTTATGGAAATGCGTACGGACTTGATTGCCGTTGCCACACGCTAGCCTAAGTGAAAAACCTAAGAGGCCGGGTAAGTGAAAACCGGTGATTTTAAGGAACCTCCAAAGCCTTCAAAATCAAGTTCAAGTTCAGGTTCCAAGCTCAGGAAAGTTCCAAGGTGAATCGTCGACGGACTAGCCCTTTACAGCACTAGACGATTACTGCAACAAAACTCAGAAGTGGAACGCTTGTCCATTACGTAGGTTTCTCTCAAAGCAGGTACGTTGATCCAGCGTCCCGGATCAATATCACCAGCACATATCCAGTGTCTTCGTTGGTGCAAGACTGGATAGGCTGCTTGCACCCCCTGCTTAGAACGAAAAAACACAGTGAACAATCCGAAAGGATCCCTGTGAGTCCAAGGGGTACACACACTCTGACACTGGTTTTCAGTTAACGCAAGTCACGTTGGGAAG